TATGTGCTTGTTACGACTCTTTTAGGCATAAGTTAAAGGTGACCTCGTTGGGGTCACCTCTCATGAAGGGTCACTGACCCCAAGAAGGGTGACCCTTCAAGGACCCTCTGAAGGAGTGATTTCCTTCACCAGCGATCTTGTCGTGGAGAATGAAGGGTCCACCTTTCTGCCGAGAAACTGCCAATTAGGAGAACGCATCTCCTTCGGCGGATCATAATCACGTTTTGGCTTCGAAAGATCATCAATCGGTGAATTAGTTTACAGAGACAACTCTATCTCTGATTAATATCAATGAGAATGTATATTTACAAGTAAAAGATGAGCTTATTATAGTTTTAAGGCTCATCTAATTCTATTTCTAATAACTCAGCACGACGCTAACTCGGCTTAAACACAAGTCAACTAACTACAGTCTAATCTCAACACCCTCCAACCGTCTTACGACTCTTAAACTGACACACTAACAATTGTTAAGACCGTGCCCTTGCGTCCTTATTTAACCCTTTCGGCACGGAGGAGCTGGCCGCGGTTATACATTCACAGAACAAGGAAGTTTTCCACAAGAGTGGTTGCATTGGAAGCCACGAAAACGTGATATTCATAGAAATCTTGAGCGTGATTGATACTAAACTTTTCATTCGGATCGCGACAGTCATCGGTGACGTTTCGTGGATGCTGCCAATAGGCGACGGTAGTACCCAGAGAACGTTTCATGGCCGCCGCCATTGGGCGGCAGTAGTACCGAAAGGGTTAAACCTAACACTCTCTTTCCTTCTATACTCGGGTTTTCTTCCTCGATCACATATTTCCCACGTGACCTCATCCTCGGTGGACCAAGTACACCAAACACTTTCATTCCTAAACTTTCCTAAATTTTCCGTCAATACCTTTGAGCACTGTCATTCGTTCTTCCGCATGCATTTCGAATATCACCTTGACACTCGAGCCAAACCCGAGGTAGCTATTTATTGTCACTCGTTTTCGAGAAACGATCTAAGCTTTCACATACATACTAACTTGAAAGTACGTTTTCTTATTGACAAGTATGACCCTTATTAGGATCCTTCAGCTCGTGATACTACACTATGGTCAGAAGATATTTCACTTATGAAATGCGAATTTCATTCGTTATAGTTGATTAATTCTAGCGTCGCTGGTGTAGTCAGACAAAGGAAATGGAGTTGACGTATTTTTCTTGTTGATCAAGATGATAACTTGTACGCACCAATTTAGGAAAATACTCGAACGTTTTCATTTGTCTTCTGTTTCATCAAGTATAAGTTGAAGCTTTTGAGATAATGTGATTTACCTTTAACGAAATGAAAAATTCAAGATTATATCTGTAAAATTGGAAAATAATTTAACGATATATTTAATATGTATATTTGTAGTATATTTATTACAAATATGCACCATCTGTGGATTACAAAAGTACTCAAATGCAGTAGGTGATAGTTGACAGCACGATTAATTAAACAATAAGAAATTTTAATATGATGTTCATCTACCTATGGTTACTTATGACAAACTTAAGGCGAGTCCCTATTGAGAACACTAGCGTCGCTGTGGACCGTATTTGTAATAAATGTACTGCAAATATCATATGGATCGGAAAGGCATTTCTTAATTTTACTGATATAATTTTGAACTACCCCTCTTGCTATTCATACCACACTATTTTAAACAAGTCGATCAAACATTTAATTAATATTAATAATCTTCTTCTTACTATTAATTAAATGTGATATTTCTTCTACATAATAAATGTATACGTTTGATTATTTCCATTATGAGTGTGTAATAAATTTATTTGATAAGGTGGAAATTAATTCGCTGACTTTAATATTTTTGCACGTAATGTAATATTTGTACGACTTTTTCATCTTAACTTTAATTGTATAACATCCTCCAAGATATTTGTACTATCTATTATTGACAATTTTTCATACGAAATATTTTAATTCACTGAATATATATCGTAAAAGTAATGTAACTGTTTCATGTAAGTACATAATTTATTGTTACTTTAAACGTGTTCATTTGTAGTGAGTTGTGAAAATACTATACGAAAATAGAATGATTATTTGTTAGTATCATATTTGTTTCAATGATTATGAAAGTGATCCAAGTTAAACTACAAAAGAAATGATTCTATTACTAATTATGGATTGCACTCATTTACATTACAACAAAATAAAGTTATTTTTGACAAAATAGGAAACAATTGAACCGTTAAATCGAATTGGTAGCATGATCATGATTAATTTCATTAATTTATAGTATATTCAACGCTAAACATACCAGTGTCCAAATAGTGGTTTTTAAATTTTCAATTATAAATTTCGCATTCAACGTTGTCACATTTGTTATTTGCCTTTATCGATACTTTTATGTCATTTTAACAAAAATTGTTTTAATTTTGCGTTTTAGATGTTACACGTTGGCAGTCAGATCGACTTATTGTGCCAAAAATTATCACAAATTTCTCATAATTCCGGGAAGAGGTCGCAACGGGCACTAATGTTCGACGTCGTCATAAGGCATCAAAGAATTATTCAACTGTCAAAGAATATTGAAACAATTTTCACTTTCATATCTCTGTGTCAGTTCTTATCAAATATGTTGGTAATCTGTTTCATAAGCTTCATTCTGGTAGCCGTGAGTGAATTTTACTTATAGTTCGCACTATTTTTAATGGCCAATTTAATTAAAGTTGAAAATTCGTTAATATCTTTTATTAACAACAGTCCATACA